CACATATACACATTATTAACTTGATTTTAAGAATATGTTTTCTTACTAAAATGTTGAAAATGAAAAAATACAATTCCTTTTAAAATTTTTGTGAATGTTTTTTTTATTTTCTGGAAATTTTAAAATACATTTATTGTTTTGTAATAATCTTTCTTTGACTGAATGTTAATTCATGCTAGCGTGCCTACATGTATGAATGTTTCACTGTGTGTGCGTTTGTGCATGTAAACCTTGTGTGCAGCTGTGTAGGCTCCAAGATGTATGCTTTTCTAGCTGTGTGACATAACATATTATGATGAATAGCTCTGCCAAATGACTGATTGTATCTTGACCCCGCAATAAATCATAAAGCCTCTGCCCTCTTCAAACACCCCCAAACACACATGCAGGCAGTTCAAAGCACAAGCAGAAATACACAAACAGAACATCCACACACCTCTATGACACACTAGCTCTACAGTGAGGGGTCAAGCACAGAGTTCACTCTCCAACAGAAGAAGTCTGAGGGCACATCATGTTTACACTCTCCCTTTTTTAAGTGTGTGTAAGATTTTGTGTTCTATTACAAGGCACAATTTGTGTGCATGTACGGTTGTAAGAACGTGTCTTTATCACTCACCAATATGTTTGCCCTTCATGTGATAGTAGAAGGAAACGCAGTATGGCATTCGGCCGGAGCCCTTGGGGCCCTTGACTGAAGACACATTAAAAAGTGGAGACAGAAGACGGGCTTTGTCCCCTTGAGCTCGCGGTCGTGATGCTTCAATGTACATGTAATACCCTGCAACCAACCGAAGAACATAATTAAACAATGAGATGTGATTCTGAGATAATTGTCATTAATTGATTTTATAGGCTCAAAGGTGTATTCAGCATTTAAATAAAAATCATATGGCTCAATAAAAAAATGAATGAATAAAAAAGCCATTCTCATCTACTGTATATTGTTGCATATTTATTTAAGTAAAAAAAGAGATCTTATGTTTTTTTTCCTTTTTTTAATTTTTTTACTGAGACTCCTGAATGTGTCATTAAACTAACCACCCCTCCAGTTTCCTTACCCTCAAATGTTCCACTGCGGTCAGTCTCAGGGCCGGTATTGGCAGATCGCTTGGGATTATGCATCAGGTTATTCTGCCTCGTCCAGTCAAAGACATCACTCCGGTCTTGAGAGAAGCCACAAACCCGTTCATCCTCGAACCCACACACGTGGTCTGTGATGTGATTGTACACGTGGTGAAAATACAAGAGAAAGGAAGAAAGAGAAAAAAAAACAACAAAAAAAAATTAAAATCTGTGAAATGTTATCTAAGAAGTGACATTTCAAATTTCAGGAGAGAAAAGCTTTTCATTCAACTTTCCACAGATAAGAATGTCAGCAACAACTATACAGAATGACCTCTGCAAAATGCACATCAAATCAGACACCATGCTAATTACTGACAAGCTGACAGACACAATGTGAGAGGCACGAATAATCGTGACTTCTAGATTTCACTCACATTTATGGGGTGGGCTCATAAATGAAATAAATAGATAATTTCAATTTGAACATACACACAAAGCCACAATAAAATTAAATGAAGCTGTATGCTTTATAGCAGGGCTATTCAACTAAATCGCTTCGGGGGCCACAATTACTGAAGGCCAACAGCTGAGGGGCCGAACATCCAGCAATTAAAGTCATTATGTAAATAAACCAAGTATTACAAAGATCTGTTACCTTTGATATAGTTTACTTAGCTGCATTTAATCATTAATACAACATACAGAACCCTATGTAATAAATGTAGTAATAATAAAACATTATCAAAAACAATAAGAATACATTATGCCTCATATTTGACACAAATAATATTTTGACATCTCTGATTTGCCAAATTTTTAAACCAATTTTGTTTTCACTTTCATAGTTTTATCTTCAACTGCTTGTAGTTTTAACTGCCTTAAATGTTCGTAGAAATTGTTTTTACCAGCTTGTAGCCAAGAGTCTGACGTTTCTGTTGATACCAAACATACAGTGGTTTGCAAAAGTATTCATACCCCTTGAACTTTTCCATATTTTGTCACATTACAACCACAAACATAAATATATTTCACTG